AATGTCTGGGGAGGTTTTTGGTTTTCACAACTGGAAGAGGGAGGGGCGTTTCTGTGTTGTCTGATGGGTAGAGACCAGGGATGCTGCTAGTCATCGTACAATGCACAGGACAAGCACCGCAAAGAATTATGTGACTCAAGATGTCGATCATCCTGGAGTTGAAGAACCCTGAGTCAGATGTCAAAGAGATACAGAAAAAGTGAGTTTCAGTCTTAGGCTATGAAATGTGCTTGGGATTGTTTCCTCTGTAGTTTCGTTGAGCTGGGCCTGAGACGGACTCACCCAGAGCTTCCTGGGGCTTTGCCCGAGCGAGAGCCTTTTAAGCAAAATCTTCAGGGAAGCAAGAAGTGTGTGCTCCAGGACATCTTTCTGTGCTTGCAGCGGGTCCTATTCTCTGAACAAATGAATGTGAATTTACTCTGTGTTGTTCCAGCGTCTTGCAAATAGTGAATGGCATCTTGAGGGACAGGGACCACCAATAAGAATTTTTTTCTTTTAAAAATTTCCTTTAGTATGGTGGTTAACAATAAAAAAATTATTAAAAAAAAAAATTTCCTTTAAAGCAGTCATATTTATCAAAATGTAGGTTGTGAAAAATTCCAGAGGCTTAGTACGGAGTATGCTGGGAGCTGTTGAGAATACAGCTAGCCGGTTCCTGGGTCAGCTGGCGTTGAGAGTCACAGGGTTGTTTGAGAATCTGGACAGCGTGTTAGGTGTGCTACCGACAATGGGACGTCCTTGTTGGGACTGCGTGTAATAGAACTTAAGCCAGTACTCGTTTTTATCTTTCCAGTCAAAGGATGTTATAGCATCATGTGCATAGGAATCTCGATATATGTGTTCAGTATATAGGAGTAGAATCTCTATAACCAAAAGGCGAAATAATTTCTGGCACAGTATTTCTCAATCTTTTCTTCATTAGGAGACTAGATTTTTTTTTTCCTAATTGTGCCTCCCCCAGTGAAATTTTAGTACATACCGTATACTGTGTTTCTGTTCATGTATATGTATCTGTGTTTTGTACATAAAATGAATATTTTTTTTACCTCCCCCAAGAACTAGTTTTCACCCCATTGGAATGATATCACCCCTGATGAGAGTGCATGCATTATTACAGTAAGCAGTGGTTGTGATCACTGGGAGTTCTTTGTAGGATATTGTATGGCTTTACAAAGAACAAACATGTTTTCTCTTTTCTGATCGTTCTGAAAGGGATCAGAAAACACCGTTACTATCTGCTGCATACCTCAGTTATGAGCAACCCTGTTCCTTCACCTGAAAATCTCATCTAGTTGCTCTGTTCAGGCCCATGGTAATCCAAAAGGAATCAGAAATAACCGTCACATCAGGGAGATTTTAGCCTGTATTTAAGCAAAGTCACTGATTGGGGTGGGGGACTTTATTTTTTAGAACACTTTTAGATACATAGCAAAATTGAAAGTAAAGATTTCCCATATACCCCTGTCCTCACACATGCATAGCCACCCCATTATCCACATCCCCCACCGGAGAGTTGTCACATGTGTGACAACTGATGAGCCTACATGGACATGTCATCATCACCCAAAGTCCATGGTTTACCTTAGAATTCACTCTTGGTGTTGTACATCCTGTGGGTTTGGACAAATGTATAATGACACGTCTCCGTCAATATAGTATCATACGGGGTATTTTCACTGCCCTAAAAATCCTCTGTGTTCTACCTAACCCTGGCAAGCACTGTTCTTTTTACTGCCTCCATAGTTTTGCCTTTTCCAGAAGGTCCTATAGCTGCAATCATATAGTGTGTAGACTTTTCAGATTGACTTCTTCCACTTAGTAATATGTACTTAAGTTTCCTCCGTGTCTCTTCATGGCTTCGTGGCTCATGTCTTTTTAGCGCTGGGTAATATTCCAGTGTCTGGATGGACCACAGTGTACTTACCTGTTCACCCACTGAAGGGCATGCTTCCAAGTTTTGGCAATCATGAATAAAGCTGCTAGTATAAACGTCCGCGAGCAGGTTTTCGCGTGGACATACGTTTTCAGCTCCTTTGGGTAAATACCAAGGAATGTGATTGCTGGGTTGTATGGTAAGAATATGTTTAGTTTTATAAGAAACCACCAAACTGTCTTCCAGAGTGGCTGCACCATTTTGCATTCCCACTAGTAGTGAATGAGAGTCTCTGTTGCTCTCCTGATGAGCATTTGGTGTTATCAGGGTTCTGGGCTTTGGCCACTCTAATAGGTGTGTAGAGGACTGGTTGTTTGTTTGTTTGTTTGTTTTCAGTAATATTTCTATTGAGATATAATTTACTGACTATAAAATTCACCCTTACAAAGTCTATAACTGAGTGGTTTCACTATATTCACAGAGTTGTGCAACCGTCACTACTATGTAATTTTAGAACATCTTCACCTTAAAAAGCAACTCTGGTCAAAATTTAAAACATTTGTGCTTCAAAGGACACCATGAAGAAAGTGAAAAGATAATCCAAGGGCAGGAGAAAACATTTGCCAATCATCTGTTGAGGGACTTGTACTAAGAATATATAAAGAACTCTTACAACTCAATGCTAAAAGACGAAACAACCCAATTAAAAAATGAGCAAAACATCCGAACAGACGTGTCCCCAGGGAAGACCTACAAATGGCCAATGAGCTCATGAAAAGATGCTGATGGCCATTAGCCATTGAGGAAATGCACATCAAAACCACAGTAAGATACCACTTCTTACCCACTAGTCTAGCTGTTTCAGGACAGACGGACAACAACAGTGTTGGGAAGGACGTGGAGAAATTGGAACCATCCTACGTTGCTGATGTGGATGCACAAGAGTGCGCCACTTTGGAAAAACCGTTTGATGGATTCTCAAGTTAAACAGAATTACTATACAATCCAGCAATTTTATTCCTAGGAAGACCTAGAAATGAATACCTATGCCCACCATAAACGTGTACACAGGGCTCCTTCTGCAGGTGATGGAAATGTTCTAAAATCAGATCGTGATGTTTGCACAACTCTGTGAATATACGAAAAATCATTGACTTGGATACTTTAAGTGGGTGAATTGTATGATATCTGAATTGTATCTCAATTTAAAGCTATTTTTTAAAAGATGAAAACAAAAATAATAATATTCTCCCCCCCCCCCCAGCACTGCCACCCATTAACCATCCCTCCTCACTCCTGCCCACTCCGCGCAGCCCTGGTAACTGCTAGGCTGCTTCCGGCCTCAGTAGATTGACATCTTCTTGATTTCATGTAAATGGAATCCTACCCCCTGTGACTTTTTTTCCTTGGTTTATTTCACTGAGCATATTTTCAAGGTTCGTACATGCTGTAGCATATGTCAGTACTTCATTCCTTTTTATGGCTAAATAATATTCCATTGCATGGATACGCCCCATTTTGTTTATCCATTCATCAGTTGGTGGACACTGGGGTGGTTTCCACTTTTTGACGACTGTAAATAATGCAGCTATGCATTTGGGTACAAGCTTCTACGTGGGCCTGTGTTTTCATTTCTTTTGGGCGCATACCTAGGGGGAGAATTGCAGGGTCCTATGGTAATCCCATGTTTAACTTTTTGAGGAACTTCCAGACTGGTTTTCCAAAGTGAATGCACCATTTTACATTCCCACGGGCAACTGATTTTTAAGTGAAGACTAGTCACATACTCCTTAAAGTGAGTTTCCCAAGTCCTGGGACAGAGTGTACCCTTTCCTGTCCCCACACGAGGCCACAGAGTCCCTTAATTGACAGATGGAGGTCCCCCCCAAACACGCACACCCCAGTTCAGGGAGGCTCTTCTGGGAGCCTCACTGATGCAGCTCCCAGGAGAGCTTTTTCTCAATAATACATCACATTCTTCAGACCTCCATCCCCTTTGGAGGAATTCATCTTAAAAATATATGGGAAGCTTTGTTCTCAATACCAGAACTTAGCCGACACGTACCTTTGTGTACCCTCTTCAGCCGTGTGAACGTGAACGTGCAGCTGGGCGTGCACACGGGGCCGCCCGCCTGGCCGGGCCTCGGCAGCCACGCAGCCCAGGGGGCGGAACCCGGGAGTCGTCCTCAGTGTGGCCGGCCTCTGCATGTCCTCCATCTGTGTGGACTTTTAGCCTCAGCCCACGTGGGGGGATAACCGCGTCCACATTTGGATGATTCTCCATTCAGATCATTCTCTCTCACTTGTTCCAGAATGGTCCCCGTGTAACTTTCGGGGGCGACTGCTTTGGTCAGCTTAGAGATTGGTAAAAATGTGACTGTTCACCCTTTCTATGCTCTTAATAACAAGCAAGGGGGCAGGTGGGCGGCTCAGTCGGTTGAGCGTCTGCCTTCGGCTCAGGTCATGATCCCGGAATCCTGGGATCAAGCCCGGAGTCAGGCTCCCTGCTCAGTGGGGAGTCTGCTTGTCCCTCTGCTTCTCCCCGTCCGTCCCCCCCCAACTCGTGTGCTCTATTTTTTATATAAATATTTAACTTTTTTAAAAATTTTTATTTATTTGTCAGAGAGGGGGAGAGTACACGCACACAAGCAGGGGGAGTGGCAGGCAGAGGGAGAAGCAGGCTGTGCACTGAGCAAGGATCCCTAGGTGGGGCTCCATCCCAGGACTCTGGGATCATGACCTGAGCCAAAGACAGACGCTTAACCGACTGAGCCACCCATGCGCCCCTCTCTCTCTCTCTCTCTCTCTCTCTTTAATAAATGAATAACGTCTTTTTAAAAAAATTAACAAGTAAGATACCTCCGACCAGAATTTTCCCACAGAGCGTGGTGATGTTCCCTAGCCCCCCTGTCGCACGCAGAGCCGCCGGAGGACGTGTTTGCCGTCCGCAGGCCCGGGGCCAGTTGCTCTTGGGTCCGGGGTCCGGGGCCTCCCGCCTGCGTCTGGCACGGAGTGGGCGCACGTTGCCCCGTAGACGTTACCGAGCGGAGGCCCGCGCCCAGTCCCGCGAGCGCGGCCGGGCTTCCGCGCACCGCCCCGTGCTCGCGTGCCGCGTTCTCTCTTGCAGGCTATCGGCTGCACTCTGAACTGTAGCTGCCAGAGTTTCAAACCCGGGAAGATAAACCACCGCCAGTGTGAGCAGTGCAGACATGGATGGGTGGCCCATGGTAACTTTATTTTTCCTCCTCCTCCCTCGGCCTCTCGTGTCCCCTCTGAATGACTTAGAGTAATTCGGGAGCGGAGCTCATGCCTGAGAAGGACAGCCAACACGTGGGTGTCCCCGCTCTTGCCGGCTGACAGGCTGAGAGCTTTCGATATGGTCCCTTTTTGGAGCTTAACGACGCTGCATGGTGGGTGGGGTCTTAGCCCCGCTCTGCAGACAGACAAACAGGTGCTTCGGGGTGGTCCTTCTGCAGCGACAGAAATGTCCTGCGTTGTCTAATGCAGTAGCCTCCAGGATTGCCAGGTAAAATGATTATTTTAGCCTGCGTATGTCCCAGTGAATATTTTTAGGATAAACCTATCCCACTTACTACCTGTTTATGTGAAATTCATGTTCACATTTCACCGGGCATCCTGTATTTTTTTTTTTAATGGTTAAATAAGATACACTTTAAATTCCAGCCTAGAGAAATGTCTTTTTTTTTTTTTTAGGTTTGGTTAATTCTTTTTTTTTTTAATTCTATTTTATTATGTTATGTTAATCACCATACATTACATCATTAGGTTTTGATGTAGTGTTCCATGATTCATTGTTTGTGCATAACACCCAGTGCTCCACGCAGAATGTGCCCTCTTTAATACCCATCACCAGGCTAACCCATCCCTCCACCCCCCTCCCCTCTAGAACCCTCAGTTTGTCCCCGTATTTTTATTTGCTGATCCCACACTTAGCCCCATGTGGCTGCTGAATACTTGAAATGTGACTGGTGGGACTCTGAAGAACTGAATTTCTGATTCTGTTTAATTTAAGAAATAAAATAATTTAAGAAAGTAAAAATAATTCCATAAAATTAAAAATTTTCTAAATCTACATAGCCGTGTGCAACTGAGGACTGTCGCATGGGATGGCGTAGATTTTGGTGGCTTAACTGGCCAAGCCTGACACCTACAACGTGGCAGATGAGAGGGGATAAACCCAGATCCGTCCGATCCCCAAGCCCCGGCTCTTCACCAGCAGACCCCGTTCAGACCCCAATTTTTCAGCCTTTTGATTAATGTGCCCTGCCACCTTTGTCTTTATCCCTTTTCCTTGCGCCTGCCCTACATGGGGCTGTTTTTCACTCCTTAGGGACAGGGACGGGAGAAAAGAAGTCTCAGGCCAGTTCATTTTATTTTAGAAGTTCCTGTGAATAACGTAGAGCCTGCTAGCTATTAGGATTGTGAACCATTTGCATATTCCTGTTGTTTTTTTTTTTTCTATCGGAAAACAACAGAGCTGGCGCTAGCCCACCCCCGGGCAGTGTTTCTCTGAGAAGTAAAAATCTTTATAAAGGGTGTTTCTTCGATTTGATTTTTCAGCTCTGAGCAAGCTGAGGATCCCCCCCGTGTATCCCACAAGCCAGGTGGAAATTGTCCAGTCCAATGTGGTGTTTGATATTAGCAGCCTCATGCTCTACGGGACCCAGGCCATCCCTGTTCGCCTGAAAATCCTATTGGACCGGCTCTTCAGTGTGCTGAAGCAAGATGAGGTGCTGCAGATCCTGCACGCCTTGGACTGGACCCTTCAGGATTACATCCGGGGATACGTGCTGCAGGTATGGGGAGCATGGCCACCGTTCTCCTGGAATGTCTTCTCCGATCCACGTGCATGTAACCAGTGTAACCCGGTTGCTCCAGCTGTGGGCGGGCATCCTTTCGTAACGGCTTGAACCCCCACCTGATGTTCTGGGAAGAATCTGGTGCTTTCCTTAATACCGGTGAAACTTCCAGGCATGGGAGCATGGACATATTCTGTGATTTGGGTATCACTAAGCCGGCTCCTACAGTAAAGCCTTGGCCCCGGGTTACTATCCGCAGGCCACCTATGGACACAAGGCCGAGGGTTTGGGGGTGAGAGGAGCGTATGTTCCAGAAGCACGTTGCAGAAGCTGGCCTTCCTTCCCGGGCTCCATCACCCTGTGATGCGTCTGTGTTCTGTCACCCCTCGGTTCCCCTTTGGTCTCTTCACATGTTCTCTGCAACCCTCCCCTGTGCTTTTCACTCCTTCCCCCTCTCTGTTACCTTGCAGAGTAGTCTTATGTCCTTCTAGACCTTGTCATGGAGGTAGGCCCTCGTGTTTCATATCCACAGGCAAAGAACAGAACTTCCTGGGACGAATTATATCATTTCTCTGACGTAGGGAGCGACGACAGCGTTTTTTTTTTTACCCCTTGACCCTCTACTAGAAAATGTCAAAATTTCGGTGAAATGGGGGGATGAATATACTTCCAAGACTAACATACCCTTAAGTCTTGCCCCAGGTAGGCCATGTCATCATCAACGCAAGCACTTAGTCTTTTATCAACCTGGACACTCTTCCAGTAAATCTCTCAGGGTAGGTGAATTATCCCCATTTTCCAGTTGAAAAGCCAGAGGCTCAGAGTGCTTCTGAATCTCGGCCAAGGTCATTCAGGTCATAAGTGGCAGACCCAGGATTCGAACCTGTTTCTTTTTAACTCTGAAGCCCATGATCATCCTGTGGAGGCGCATTTGCTCACCTCGGGTGGATCCCCAGCAGGCTAGAAGCAACCTTTTATGTAGAGTAGCATTATGATCTTACATTATGACATAGATCAATATTTAATGATCCTAATAATCTTGCTTTCTAGTGTTAGGATTAAAAATATGGAATCAATTACCTTGAACCTCTAGTGCATCAAAAATTTATGACGTTACTATCCCTCATCATCTTCAGAACTCTTCCATGCATTGTGAAAAATCTCAGTAGGCCATCAAATACATGTTCTGTGATAAAATATTTATTGTAGTTTTGGGAAAAGTTAGGCCTTGCTAGAGTTTGAAAGATCTCCAACACACCAGTGTAATTACAGCTCTGCTTTGTGAACACAGGCAGTAGATCGATAACGGGTTCATTTGTTTTCTGATGTTAGTTGCTGGGGAAGATTATTAACCTTGCAGCAAATAAATACTTGAGCTCTGTCTAGGTCTGACTGCTCCCTCCCTCCTTCTGAGATCAAGAAGTGACTATTGTTCAAACGATAACAGATTTTCGTTTTATAGTGGGGAAAAGTATGACACCGGATGCAAGACCACCAATTGGTTTGAAATACGATGGAAAATAATCACCCAATTTCCCTTCGGCCGGAGTCCTGGCATTTTACTGCTCTCTTTTAGAGCACTGTTTACATTTGTGCAGTTTGTTTTCTGGGTAGGGTTTCTGGCCCAGGAGAGTAGCGTGAGTGGGGGGCTGCCCAGAGGGGGTGTCACCTTCTGATATGCGTGTGTGCTAGTGGAGGCCCCGACCGCGTGACTCTTTCTAGAGAAGAGGGTACAGAGTAGGAAATTAATTGCACTTTACGATTCTGGTTTAGGATGCCTCAGGAAAGGTGCTGGATCACTGGAGCATCATGACCAGTGAGGAAGAGGTGGCCACCCTGCAGCAGTTCCTTCGCTTTGGGGAGACCAAGTCCATCGTGGAGCTCATGGCAATCCAAGAGAAAGAGGAGCAGTCCATCATCATCCCGCCAGCCGCGGCGAACGTGGACATCAGGGCGTTCATCGAGAGCTGCAGCCACAGGAGCGCCAGCCTCCCCGCCCCTGCGGACAAGGGGACCCCCAGCAGCCTTCACCCTTTTGAGAACCTCATAAACAACATGACTTTCATGCTGCCCTTCCAGTTCTTCAACCCCGTGCCCCCCACGCTGATAGGGTCACTGCCCGAACAGTACGTGCTGGAGCCGGGACAGGACCAGAGTCAGGAGCCCAAACAGGAGATGCACGGACCCTTCCCTGGCGACGGCTTCTTAACCTCCAGTCCTGCGTCATTTCAGGCGGAAAAAGAGCCGTGTCTAAACTGCCCGGACACGGTTCCCAAAAAGGAAGACGGTGCCCCTTTAAGTGATTCCAGCTCCTACAACATTGTCACCAAGCTTGAAAGGACACAGTTGTCCCCCGAGGCCAAAGCGAGGCCCGAGAGGCACAGCCTGGGTGCCAAGAAGGGCCGCGTGTTCTGCACGGCGTGTGAGAAGACCTTCTACGACAAAGGCACGCTCAAGATCCACTACAACGCCGTCCACCTGAAGATCAAGCATAAGTGCACCATCGAAGGGTGTAACATGGTCTTCAGCTCCCTGAGGAGCCGGAACCGTCACAGCGCCAACCCCAACCCCCGGCTGCACATGCCCATGAACAGAAACAACAGGGACAGAGACCTGAGGAACAGCCTGCACCTGGCCGCCTCGGGGGGCTGCGAGCGCCCGGGCTTCCCGGCCCCAGACTGCAGGCCCCTGCCTGGCTACGCGGCGTCCGGGGATGACCCGGGGGGCCAGCCGGCCTTCCCGAGCGTGGGGCAAAACGGGGTGCTTTTCCCCAACCTGAAGACGGTCCAGCCGGTCCTTCCTTTCTACCGCAGTCCGGCCACGCCAGCCGAGTTGGCCAACACCCCCGGCCTGCTCCCTTCCCTCCCTCTCTTGTCTTCTTCCATCCCGGAGCAGCTGGTTTCAAACGAAGGCCCGTTCGATGCCCTTCCCAAGAAGAAATCCCGCAAGTCCAGTATGCCCATCAAAATAGAGAAGGAGGCCGCGGGGGTAGCCAATGACAAGAGGCACGCTCTCAGCTCAGATGAAGACGCGCCCCTGCGGGTGGCCGGCGATGACGAGCCCGAGGCCTGCAGCCCCCGGTCGTCGGACAGAGCACCTGGGACGTGGCACGCACGGTCCGGGGGCCCGGGGGCGCCCCTCCCAGAGGGGGAGAGGGTCTGCCATCTAGACTCAGGGACGGAGTCGAGCGGAGCCATGAGCAGGACCCCCGAGCGGGCCACACGGCCCCCAGAGAGGGCGGCTGAGCAGAAGCCAGGCCTGACGGCGGTGCCACGGGAGCCGGAGGCTGGTGGCCGCGAGCCTCGCCTCACAGCCGGGACAGAGCCCTGTGTCCCCTTCCCTGACTACATCCACCTGCAGCAGCGCCTGCTGGCTGGCGGGCTTTTCAGCGCTCTGTCCGGCGGAGGAATGGCTTTTCCTTGTTTCGAGGACGTCAGGGAGCCGGAACCTGTGGGTCAGCACACGTTAGGGAGGCAGAAGGAAGACACTCGCTTCCAGTGTGACATCTGCAAGAAGACCTTCAAAAACGCTTGCGGTGTGAAAATGCACCACAAGAACATGCACGCCAAAGAAACACACGTGTGCACGGTGGAGGGCTGCAAAGCCACCTTCCCCTCACGCCGGAGCAGAGACAGGTAAGACACCTCTTGGCCATCATTTTTTCCAGAGCCGTGATGCCGAAACTCCAGCACGCACCCGAATTACCGGGAGGGTTGTTAAGAACACATCCTTCTGAGCCCTGCCCATAGAATTTCTGCTTCTGCGGGTGTGGGATGAGGCCTGAGGGTTTGTGTTTCTGGGTCCCCAGGTGATACTCTCCTGCCGTCCCAGGGACCACGGTTTGAGAAACACTGTTCTCTGCATCCGCATGCTTGAATTTTCAGTTCCAGACCTAGACTCGTTTGACCACAAAACCTGACCTGAAAGCACATGAGGCTATGGGTAGTCTTGTTTTTTGCTTTTTGTTTTTTTTAAATCTCTCTTTGTGTGGATTTTTAAAATTATACATTCAGTGCAGAAATACTCGTGGATTTATTACGGGGACATGAACAAAACATTAGAGCTTATGCGTCTCTCTGCCTCTCTAAAGTCTGAGAAACCCTGAATTCGCAAATGTATCTGGCGCAGATGGTTTGGGGTAAGGAATTATGAACTAGTCTCACATGAAGGGGGGGTTAAAGCATCACGAAAGACAACAAAACTTGTCTACTTTTCCATTTTATGATACGAAGCCCATCAAATGAAACGTTTTCTCTCATGTCCAGTTCACCAGCTACATGCGAAAGGAAGAACAACTGTGTGGTTGGAGAATGTTTCTTTATTAAGATATCAGAGAAGAGGGGCACTCATTAGCAGGTTACTTCGGGGGTTGTGATGTTGGTTGAAAGCTTGAGAAGTCTTTGGGCTGGGGGTATTCATGAGCCCCACACAGCGTCTCGCTGTTTGCCGAGCACCCAGGCAGAGAGAGTCTGTCATGACTCTGGGACACAGCACTGGTCCTACTGTCTTGTGCTTTTCTTCATGAACTCGAGTCCCATCACCCCAGCCTGGGAAGGGGAGGACACGTATAACCCAGAGGTGACCCCAGGAGGCTTTAGGGGAAGGACTAGCTCTCAGTCGAAATGCAATGTGAAATATACCAAATGGTTTGCAGAACAGTAAAATGGTATATTTGCTCAAAGGAGCTTGACTTGAAGCAGTTGGGCAAGAACATCCTCGCACTGAGCAAAGAGGATAGAGCATGGGTGATATTAGTTAAAGTTCCTGTTTCTGTTGCTGGCACGTTGACCCAGACCACCAGGGTCCCCGGATTAGCAAAGCCGGCCTTCTCCTTCGTCCTCCAAGAGGAGGGTTTGTTCATGAATGAGCTCTATGTTGAAGAAGAGACAGTCCCATCAATCAGATCATCCTTGATATTTACGATACTGTTCTGGCCTACGGTGTGCACCAAATTAGAAGGCATATTGAATTTAACATTCGCCTTTGTTTTATATTTATTTTTTCACATATTTAATATTTTCTTATATTCTGAGCTATTTGTAGACCCTCACCCACCACAGGAAAGCATCTTGAATTCTAAATTTAGACTACTAATTCTGGTGGTGTAGAACTTAGAATGTATTTTACCTAGAACCTGATTAAAATGGCACCATTTTATTTTATTTTATTTTATATATTTTTAAGATTTTATTTATTTATTTTGACAGAGAGCACACAAGGAGGGGGAGCTCAGGCAGAGGGAGAAGCAGGCTCCCTGCAGAGCAGGGAGCCTGATGCGGGACTCAACCCCAGGACCCTGGGATCATGACCTGAGCTGAAGGCAGACGCTTAACCAACTGCGCCATTTTTTTTTTTTTTTATTGAGAGAGAGAGAGAATGGTAGAGAGAGAGCATGAGAGGGAGGAAGGTCAGAAGGAGAAGCAGACTCCCTGCCGAGCAGGGAGCCCGATGCGGGACTCAACCCCAGGACCCTGGGATCATGACCCGAGCCGAAGGCCAGCGCTTAACCCACTGAGCTGCACAGGTGCCCCCCCAAATGGCACCATTTTAAAAAGAGCTTTGTGGACGGGGCTGGGGCCACCACCCTTTCTCTGGGCCGGACAGGTGTCCTCCCCTCTTGAAGCTGATGCCAACAGTAGTCAGTAGGACCCGGCAGGAAGGGACTGGGACAACGCCCTGGATGCTTATTTAGCCAAAAAATATTTAAAAACCTTCTGTTAGGTGCTGTGGACACAGTCCCTGCTGACAAAGGCCAGTGGGGGAGACAGAGCAGTAAATAGGCGTTGATGGTTGATTGCAGCAGCTGCTCTAATGGGAGAGAGACGCTGTCGTGGGCACGTAGTGGGGGCCCCCGACTAGGCTCTTCTGAGAAGTTAGGGAGGGCTTCCTGGAAGAAGAGGCATGACTAAACCAGCAGCTCTCAGACGTTTTGGTCTCAGAACCCCTTTTACAAATTCTTAAAACCTCAGGGCCCTCAAGAACTTGTGTCTATTTGGGTTTATAAGTTATCTATGTTTACTGCATTAGAAACCAAAACTGAGAAAAAAATATTTATTTCATCACTTACAATAATAAACCTATTATATGTTAACATACATAACATGAAAAACAAGGGGGAAAAAAACGTACATAACATGTCATGAAAAATAACCCCGTTTTCCAGCACAAAAACCCCGTGAGAAGAGTGGTTTTGTCTTACATTTTTGCCAATCTCTGTAACGTCTGGCTTAGCAGAAGACAGTTGGTTTCTCACATCGGCTTCTGCCTTCAACCTGTTCCAATACCACATGTCACGTAGCCTCTGGAAAACCACAGTAGGCTCATGAAGGAACGACAGTGGAAAAGATCATGTCTGAGTATCACGATGATGAGATGAGTTTTGACTTCAGGGCACCCCTGAAAAAAGCTCAGGGACCACGAGGGGTGCCCAGACCCTACTTTGAGAACCACTGGCCTGACAAGGCCGGAACAGAGGAGGAGGAGGGGGTGGGGATGGGGATGCTCGGCATCAGCAGTCCTGAAAGCAACAGGAAGCCTGGCATGTGGCCAAGAGGGTTTTGCAGTTGTGGTCGTCACTGGTTTTAGGAGACGTGGCACCTCGGGAAATGCACCTAACCCTCCAGGTCTTAAGGAGAAGGTTGGAGGATCCCACAGGTCCGCTCCTGGTGTTCCTGGGGGACTCAGGCCCAGAGCTTTGCTTTGTTGCCTCAGGGACCTTCCTGTGCAAGGTTCCGGTAAACGTGTCTGTCTGACTTTTTTCCCTACCACTTATGTGCCGGGACCTGCGTGTCAATCCAGCGTCTGGTTTTCTGCCGACACATACCTGCCCCTTCTACCCAGAACGCTGACATAATCACAGGGCAGAGCTGCCGTTGATAAGAGTTGTTTGCAGAGTGGGTGATCTGGGAGCACGGTTCTGATTATGTCCAGAAAAAAAATGTGTAAGGGCTAGAAGAGAGACGTCGAATGGCAGATTTGTTACGTTTTATGAAATAAGATTGAATTTCCGCCCACCCCGCCTCCAAGGTGTCTTTGGAGGTTTCAAAGAGAAAACTGGATTCTTAGTTATTTTGGTGGGGGTGTTTTTCACCTGGTGGTCCTGGCAGGCATTCTGATCTGTACGGGTGGTGGGGGAGGTATTTTCTCTGTTTGGAATCACTTTCCTATCACCTTTAAGCTCATACCCTTGCAGTAAGGGCTATTTTTGCCAGTCTGAAGTCAGCAGGGGATCTCTGAGCACGGCCAACATTGATTGACAAGTTACATCCAAATGATATTGTGTGAGCAAGAATGTGTCATAATGGATACTCATTATCTGCCCTTCAGGAATAATCATTGGGTAGAAGATTGGTGGTGGGTTCAGTGCTGCATTTGCAAAACTCCTGTCTGGTTTATTGTGAAACGTTGCAAATATGAACTGAACTTAAATTCTCTTTCTCTCTCTCTCTCTCTCTCTCTCTCTCTCTCTCTCTCACTCACACACATACACACACACACACGCAATGTATAGCCAATCACATTTTCTCACCTGTAGCACTTCTGCAGTCATGTGAGTGTGAATGCTGTAGACCCTGATGCCACATAGAAAATTTTAAGTTTTCTAGTAACCACATTTAAAAAGTGTAAAAAGACACAGGTGAAATGAGTCTTAATAACGTATTTTGTTTCAGTCAGTCTATCCAGAATATTACCATTACTGTGTATGACGCAGCCACGTTTCAGGTGCTCACTCGTCCTGTGGGAGTAGCTACCCTACTGGACAGTGCCTCTCTAGAAGGTATTTCTTGGTTTCATTGCAATGAAGTCCTCTGCTTAACTTACGAGGACAGGTGTTCTCTGGGATCCCTGGTTCCAGAGTCCCAGGGGAATTGACCTAATTGGAGTAGGCTGGCCGTCCTCAGTAGATGAGGTGCGGGAAGTTACGTGTCAGTCACATGGTAGAAATTAAGAAGAACTACATATTCCCAGCTTCCAGATGGCCGGCTTTCCTGGTCAGTGCTAACTTCTGACAGGCAGTGAACAGCCCTGGGCCAGTGTCCACTGGACACACATTTCATCCCATACCCCCTATGGTCACTCCTTCCATGCCACAAGATTTTTCTGGTATCTACCTAGTGTCTTCACTCGGAGTGATGACTGTTTTTACAACAACAGCCCAACCCACCGCTAACCATGTTTTCACTCTTGTAGACACAGTTCAAACCTAAACCTCCACCAAAAAGTGTTGACCCAGAAAGCACTCGAGAGCCCCGAAGACCATTTCCATGCAGCTTACCTTCTGAAGGACGTGGCAAAGGAGACCTTCCAGGACGTGGCTTTCACGCAGCAAGCCTCCCAGACGTCTGTCATCTTCAAGGGAGCGAGTCGGATGGGCAGCCTGGTTTACCCGATAACCCAAGTCCACAGTGCCGGCCTGGAGAGCTACAACTCCGGTCTGCCAAGCGAGGGCACCATCTTGGATTTGAGCACTACCTCGAGCATGAAGTCAGAGAACAGCAACCATTCCTCTTGGGACTCAGACGGGGCCAGCGAGGAAGGCACCATGCTCATGGAGGACAGTGATGGGAACTGTGACGGGCCGAACCTTGTCCCCGGGGAAGATGAGTACCCCATCTGTGTCCTGATGGAGAAGGCCGACCAGAGCCTCGCCAGCCTGCCTTCTGGGTTGCCCATCACGTGTCACCTCTGCCAAAAGACGTACAGTAATAAAGGGACCTTCAGGGCTCACTACAAAACCGTGCACCTCCGCCAACCCCACAAATGCAAGATTCCGGGCTGCAACAGCACGTTCTCGTCTGTCCGCAGCCGGAACAGACACAGCCAGAATCCCAACCTGCATAAAAGCCTGGCCTCCTCTCCAAGTCACCTATAGTAACAAGGGGGTGGACCGAGTCTGTGAGGAGAAGCGTTTACCCTAATTCAGGAATAATGAGGGCTCTAATTTTGTTTAATACCGTTTGAGGCAAGCCGGGCAAAAGGTCTTGGAGTTGACTTTCTCGGCTTGTGCGGCGGGATGAGCAAAAGACAAGCCTTGTAGGAAGTCAACTTTAGGGGGCAGCCCTTCCTATTATTTTTCTTAGCCCCAGGGGTTTTTCCCTGACATAACAAACACTGGCAGAAACACAGTTTTTTCCCACATTTGTTTACACATTCCCCGGGAGCGCACCAGGTCTGCAAACTGACCAGGGGGCCCAGGACCTTTGGGCAGCTCGAAGTGCAGGGTCAGCTGAGTATCCCGGGGAAGCAGACAGCCGCCGCGGGTGAGGAGCCAGGCCCCAAGATCACATTTTTTCAGTTCCTGCTTTTAACGAGTCTGAAATCCAGACTCAGGGTTGGGAGTATGGCTTTTTGAGACTATGCCTCCGTTTGGAGAGGAGAGTTGCTTTTACTTTGTGTCTTCCTCTTCGGGGGTCTCATGGACCTTCAAGGAGCCCCCAGAGGAGGCAGGTGGGTTTCCAGCACACAGGAACAAGGATGTCACGAGGAGGTCTGTGCTCGCTGTGTAGCAAGCGTTCAGGAAACATAGTGGTCTTCAATTTAATTTAAAATGACTTTGGTAATATTTAATTTGTGTTTGTTACGTGAGTCATTGGGGTGAGTGCAGACATGTCACAGTGTGACCTCTGGGTCTCTGCTCGAGGGCAGAGCGAGGGCCGGCCTCAACTTGAGAGCAGCTGCCCGTTTCCATTCGGTGAACCTCGGAGTCTGGTCATCTCGGTCCCCTGTGGAAGGAGTGCAGGACCATCTGTATATACTCGGCCGAAGCGTTTAGAGAATGCGGTTCTGATCTTCAGTATCACTGGGTCCCTCAGCCCTCATCCTTTTATAAATGTGTAAGGGTAAGAGGAGTTTTCCAATGTACACGGTAGAAGAAAAGTAGGGCAGGACTGCCATACCATGCATCTTAATATTTAACTTATTCTGAAATGTATTCCACACCATGGTACACATTTGCTATTGTGAAAAGGGAAGTTTCATCGGTCCTGTGAAAAGAGACCATCTCTTGAAATTCGGCATTTACGGTACTCGGGAGGGAGAAATTGACTTCTCGTTAAGACTTCAGGTGAACCGTCTTTTAAACTTACAGTGGATTTAAGTAATGAAAAACATCCTCAAAGAGAATTGGGGGTTATAAGAGAGATGATTCCTCCGGCCCAAGGGTAAAAAAAAGCCAACAACCTGTTACAGATTGTTTCAGCGTTTGTTTTGTTTTTGTTTTTTTTTTAAATAAATGTGACGACACTTGGTCTTGGCTTAAAGTAAAGATGTATCTTTCCACTCTTTTGTTACCCAGCTGTTTATTATTCCAGTTTCCCCAAAGTGGAACGGTTTGTATACAAATGAGTTTTCTATGATTTAATAAAAATGTATGCCACACGTTTTTGTTTAAAGAGGCAAACATTCGGAAGATCGGTTTTGTCAGATGCATGGCGTGTTGCGAGCACACTGC